TACTAAAATTGTTAATTATTTCAACTAGTTTTTTAGTTGCTTTTCTAAGTACCATCATGTCATCTGCAAAGAATGAATAGTTTTGTTTCCTCACTGCTTATTCTAATTCCTTTGATTTCTTTTTCTTTTCTTATTGTTATAGCTAGCATTTCTAGTACAACATTGAATAACAGTGGTGATAATGGGCATCCTTCTTTCATCCCTGATCTTATTGGAGAGGCTTCTAGCTCATTCTCATTACAGATAATGCTTGCTGATGGTTTTATAGGGATATTACCTATCATTTTAAAGAAAGCTCTATGTATTCCTATGCTCTCTGGTGTTTTTTAATAGGAATGGGTGTTGTATTTTGTCAAAATTTTTCTGCATCTATTGAGATAATCATGATTTCTGTTGCTTTTGTTATTGATGTGGTCAATTATATTGGTAGTTTTCCTAATTTTCAACCAGTTCTGAATTGCTGGTATAAATCCCACCTGTTCGTAGTGCCTTAATTATATTTTAATCTGGTACAGGCTGCATGTTTGATGACATCTCTGCTCTATTTCATGAAAAGTCCTTTTCCCCCTTCAGGATTATATTGTTTTGTTGGGTAAAAAATTTCCACTTCTTTGGAGAGGTGAACGTTAAACTGTATGTGACCTTGACTGTATCTCCTTGGTACCTGAATTCTTTCTTGTTGCTTGAAAACATCTGGAAGCTATGGGTTTTGGTTATATTCCTAGAAGTTTTCATTTTGAGTTTCTTTCAGGTGACCAGTGGATTCTCTGTAAGTCCAGTTTATCCTCTGGTCTTCAGTGGTTTAAGCAGTTTTAACATTTCTTGAAAGGTAGTCCAATGTTTCTTAAATTTCTTCTCCTGTTTTGTATGTCAGTTGTTTTTGCTATGAGCAAATTTAAATTTTCTTCTACTTTAGTCTTTTGACTTTGTTTTCTTTTGTTACATTCCTTATTGTCTCACTGAGTCACTGGTTTCTGTTCTATTCTACTCAAGAAGTTTGTTCCTTGGGCAAGGTTTTGTACATTTTATGCCAACTTAATTCCTTGCCAATTCTTTCTTCCATAGCTCTCATTTATTTCCTATTTTCCCCCCCAGCACTCTCAATTCATTGATAAAAATATTTTTAAATCTCTTGCTTCATCTCTTCCAGAAACTGTAGTTGAATTTGTGCTTAAGCTACGTTTTTCTTTGATGCTTTCTTTGCTTGTAGATGTTTTGGAATTATTTTCATCTTCTTTGTGTCTTGAGAATCCCTGATCAAATGAGGTGATATTTGTAAAGCACTTAGCATAGTACCTGGTACATGCACAGTATGTATTTAATAATGCTTTTTCCCTTCTCCCATCCTCATCATCACAATAGCCTTTTATGGTGGTTTTTCCCTTCTCATTCTTCCAGCCTGCTTCTGCCTTTAAACTTGATGTCAGGGCCAGGCTCTGCAAACTTCTGGAGGGAAGGTCTGAGCTGGTCCTGTTGCTGCTTTCTTGGGGTATTACATGTTGTGTTATTCAAAGATCTCAGGGACAGGTCAGGTTGTCCTGCAAGAATCCAGCACTCCCAAAATGGTGTGATCCAAGGCATAGTCTTATCACTGCCCATGATCTTGGCTTTGCAAGTTCCTGACCTGGGTTTGGGTCTGAACAACAGCAGATGCTTCTAGATTCAACCACTCTCAGCCAGCTGGAAAGCTCTGCTTCTGAGGCACAGAACTACAGACTCCCTTTTGGTCTGGGCTTCCTGCTTTGGTTATTATTCTTCTGAAGGCTTCAAACTGAGGCAGAAATTGGAACTGAGAATCACCTCTGCTCCTGGAGTCAAAGTCACATGTCTGCTGTTTGCTTCTGAACTTGTTCCTCTCATCTAGGGCTTGCAGCAACTCTCTACTCCTGAATGCCCCCTCAGGGCACAGGTTCTCACCTGCAGTCCACCCTGGATCTATAACCCCTAACGAGGTAGTGAACAACAAAGCTGCCAGTTGGCACCTGTTCTTTTACCTTGTGGTGCCCTGGTATGGGTTTGGGACCTCCTCTTGCCCTGGTACACAGCTTCTCCCTGGGCAGCAAAGTGCTGTCCTTGGGACCCTCCTAGTGAGACCTTGTCCCCAGGGCCTACAGACTTCTATCTCTCTTTGCAGACCTGAGCTGGAAAAATCACTGTGACTTTTTCTTGGATTCCCCATCAGAATTCAGTCTGGTGCATTTTCTAGATTTCTTTGGAGGACAGCTATATTGCTTCCTGCTACTCTGCCCTCTTGGCTCTGCTTTGCAGTAAGAGTGAACATTAAAAACTATGGTTTGATGGTACTCTTGTAAATATTTTGGCTATGATGAGTTCTATAGTTTTCTGTAATTTTCACTTTTTATCAGTAGACAGTGAAATAATGAGTTTTGGAATAATGGGAAGAGGGCAGGCTGACAAGACCATCCTTATCCCTTTCCCCAAGAAGAGATGTAATTTTGTAATTTTTAAGTGTGTATGGGGTACATTATACAAAGACAATGTAGTATGTTGGAAAGTCTTTTGACTTGTGTTTGAAGGTTGGCTTACTATAATCTCAAAGTCAAATGTCTATGTAAGACGTTTGAATTCTTTACATGTTAGTTAAAAGAAGAACTATAACACTTGCATTATTTACCTCGTAAGCCTGCTCTGGGCAAGGCACCATATTAATATAATATGCTAAAATTTAAAATGGTAATTCTGCATCAATCATAAAATAAGTTATTATTAAGTCTTGATATACTAAACAGGAATTAATTCCTGGGCCTAGAAACTGGAGTACTTATTTCCTAAGGTTTGGATTTTAAAAGGATCGTTCATTACTTCTTTTTTTAATTTTCCAGTATCTAGTAGAACCTTTTAAATTTTAGGGTATATTTTAGACAGTTCATATGCTTACTCTGGGTAATTTATATTTTGTCATTCCCTTTCTTGGCCTAGCAAGCCCTACATCAGCACCATTCTCTCCATCCCTCTTTCCCCGCTTTGCATTAAAAGATAATTTTGTAGTGGGTCTCTGATCCCTTAGATGTACCTCTGATCACCTTTACAAATTAAAAACTTGAAGGGTGTTGAACCCAACCACAGGGGCTTAAATTTCATCCTCTCATCTTCCAAAACAACACTTATTGTAGTAGCAGCAGTGTAAGATCACAATTTAGAACAACTCACATATGTCTATCATAGTAAGGGAGCTTCCTCAGCTTATAAAATGTGATGACTTGTCATGGCCTTTGTAGAATTCAGTGGGGAAATTTCATTTTTCTAGCACATCCCACTATTATTTTTGATGTTGAGCTAGCCAATTAACATAACCAAATACGTTCCTTTTCAAGTATCAGTTTCTTGGCAAAATAAAATAACTACTTAAAATATTGCCCACAGTGTGGTTTCACACTGCAGCTGGGATTAAAGTTCAGTCTTGTTCAACTGAAAGGAAAATAAAGATAAATACAACACTATGGTAATTTTTCTGTAAAAAGGTATATTTAAAAATAGGCTCTTTAAAAAGAGAACTTTTATGTACAGTTATTCAGTCTAGAAACAGTCAAAAAACACTATACAACAACTATCTAGGTTTTAGAAAATACAATTTGTAACACACACACACAATCCTGGTACTGAACAAGATGTAGTTTTAAGCCTATGAGTAATTCATCGTCTCATCACAAATCAATATTCACATTTGTTAATAGCTAACATTCAGACTAAAGTTCAGGTTAAGAACTTGCCTGCATACTTCCCATTTGGGAAATTAGACAACCACCTCTGCCTGGCAGATGTAGTCTATCTGTAGTTCAGATAGTCTATTTCTTTGAGTGAGCAATACCCAACAAAGAACCTTTTCTTCTTTTTGTTATTTCTTCTTTTTTTCCTCTTCTAAGTTTTGCTTTTAGCATAAAGGAAACAAAAACATCTTTATATGTGGTTGTTGGCCCAGAGGTGCCATGTTCTTTAAAAATGAAATTTCTATGGGGGCAAAGTCACACATTTCTACAAGTTATGTAATGATAGTGTATCTGTGCTTAACAATAAATGTTCTAGGAACAGGTTACTGAGCACTTAATGCATTCAGGGTTGTTAGCACTTAGCTTTCCCTTGGCTTTCAGCTCAGCATCCTAGGTAGCCATCCATCTGATTAGGCAGTCTCCCTAGTCTTTTTCAACATGGTGCCTTCCCTAGTTATATCAGTTTACAACAAAACACTTTTGAAACATCAAAACGCAGCTTCCTAGAAAATAATAAAAGGAGATGGCTTGTCAAAATTAAAGTGCTATAAGCCCGTCCCTTCAAAAGACTGTCATAAGTTCTCAGATGACTTATTTGTGTTAATCAGGAATTATGTTCCTGAAAGAATAACTACATATTTTGTGTACTTCATGTCACAACAATGCAGACCCAATTCACCCTCCACATGAGTTACTGTTCAGAAATAATTTAATTTTATGATTAAAGGGCATTGATTTGCCTGCATTGGGAAGGTCAAGCAGAAGGACTTTGGTCTATTCTTTATTTCATAACTGTCCATATTAATTAAGCTGTAGCCAAAGGAAGGTGATGACATGCAACTGAAGAGATACAAAAAAAAAGAGGAATCCATGGAGAAACAATAGAGCTCACAAGGTATGACTTATTGGAACTGGGTATGTAGAAGAAAAGAAAAGCTGTTCATCCAACACTCGTTCTTCCTCTAGATTTATGTACGATGAAATCATCACTGAGATCCTTATTTTCTGCTCTGTTGGAGACCTATGTGTTTGTTCCCTTAGAATTAAATGTTCATTTATTACTTCAACTGTTAGGAATCACAAAATCCAATGGGGAAGATCAGGTAGATTCCATGAACAGTAAGGAGATAGCAATAAAACATTTGGACCAAAAAGTTTTCACAATTTATAACTGATAGTAAGACTTGGTAATTGGAAAGAAAGGGATGTCAATAGGCATTGCTTATTTTGGTGACACCTATAAAGACTAGAATGAAATTACATAAATCAAAATTACAAAACAAATTGTGTATTTGTACTGAGTCAGAATTCTGTGTAAAGAGCACATATCTGTGAAAGATAAATTGTCACCCAACACATTTAATAATCAAATGCAGTTAAATATGTCATCAAATCCAAAAGACTCTAATGAAGTTTGAGGGTTAATCCCATAATTTAATAAGACCATCCCAGCCACAAGTTATAACCTTAGATGTTTCATGTGGGTGCCACACAGCACCTATGCATACTTTATCATGAGCTTTAAATCGACTGTAGAGTTTTGTAGTCTTCCAGTCCCAAATGTTTAATTTTCCATTTCCATCTCCCGATATCACATAGCTGCATTGGGGAGGAAATAAGTCCACATTATTCGAATGTTTTAAATTTGAGATAAATGGGGAAGTTGTTTCTTCCAACTTTCTCATCTTAACACTAAACCCCACCCCCCAATACTTCTATTACATAAAAATCTACTGAAAGGGTCAGACTATCAGTTTCAACAATGCAAACTGTTTGAAAGAAAGTACATTCCAAGGAGATTAATCAGATTGTAACATGAACATTGCTCTTAAGCTGCTGCTTTTTTTTTTCCAGGCTGGAATGGTTTATTTCAGTAATTCTAAAGCTATTTTTAACCTGGGTGAAGGGAGGGTGAGAAGTATAAATCAGCAGGATTGGGTGAACTCCAAGAGAGCAGAGGAGGGCCCCACAAGTGGGGTCACGAGTCCCCCAGGCCTCTCAGCTGGGAGCATTATGTGTGCCCTACTCTTTTACCTTTAGGCATAATACAACCTAATTCGACAACACGAATCATCCCTTTTGTTTCCTTCATGATTATTTTTGGTTCCAAAGTCACTGAGCTGGACTAAGTTTGTCTGGAAGTGTAAGGTCCAATAGTTAGACTCAAGTTAGCCAGTGCATAGATCTTGGCATCTCCCATATGCACACATTCAAATTTAAGCCTAGAACAGAGCTATAGCTGCCCCTGCTGGAAGCTGAGGTCTTCACTGGCCATGTGGCAGCTAGTCGTGGAAGCAGAATGGGAAGGCAGCCTCCATATACTGTGCATGCACAGCTATACTTTCTTTTCAATAGACTGATGAACTGGCACAGGAAAAAAAAAAAAAAAAAAAAAAGCTTTGGTTCTGGGGGAATTGGTCCAGGCTCTGTCTGATGTCCTCAGGAAAGATACCTCCCTACTCTGGAACCATCAAGCTTTCTTTCCCACCTAGAAAATGAGAGGGTTGAACTAGATGATTTCTAAGCTCCCTTCCAGCTCTAATTATAATATTCTATAATAACAGCATCTAGAATGAGACAGGTTCTACTTCTACTATCTTCTGCCCCACTTAGAACATAACTGGAGTACTACGTTCATTTCCAGGACTACATGTAAGGAATAACATTGACATGTCCAAACGAGGGAAACGTAACAGTAAGGTAAATAGTAACCATGTTACATGAGAATTAGATAAAAGGACTGGAGACAAGGTCCCACCCCTGGGGCAGACCAGCAACAAGATCTCTCCTCCAGGGCCAGCCACCAGAAAGACTCTATTACCATAGCAGGCCAGCGGTTAAACCCTATGCCCAGGGGAGGATAAGAGGGAGGCCCCAAGCCCCAGTACAAGCCAGAAGGGTAGCCTACCTTCCAGAGAAAAGCAAGTAGTTAAGCCCCAGAGCCCTCAGCACAAAAAGCTTGGGGCAGTGCAGGATAACTCTCACGTAAAAACAGCAAATCACAAACACACAAAAAGGCAGAAAAAATAAGCAAAAAACAAAACAAAACAAAAAAAGAGCTCAACTCTATAAAGTTATATAGTGATAGTAAGGATCAAGGCACAAACTTAGAAGAGGACAATAGTGTCAAAATGGCTACATGTGAAGCCTCAAAGAAAAATGTAATTTTGTCTCAGGCCCAAAAAGAATTCCTGGAAAAGCTGGGAAAAGAAATGAAAGTAATGCAAGAGAATCATGAAAAAAGAGTCAATAGCATGGGAAAAGATAAAGAAAAATTCACGGAGGAAAATAACTCCCTAAAAAGTACAACTGGCCAAAAGCTCACTGAAGAAAATAATTCCTTAAAAATTAGAATTGAATAAGTGGAAACTATTGACTCTGTGAGACATAAAGATATGATAAAACAAATTTAAAAAAAAACAACCAAAAACAGAAGAAAATGTGAAATTTCTCATTGGAAAAACAACTGACCTAGAAAATAGATCCAGGAGAGATAATATAAGAATTATTGGCCTACTTGAAAGCCATGATAAAAAAAAAAAAAAAGCATGGACATCTTTCAAGAAATTATCAAAGAAAACTGCCCTGATATATTAGAACCAGAAAGTAAAATAGAAATTGAAAGAATCCACTGATCACCGCCTGAAAGAGATCCCAAAATGAAAACTCCCAAGAATATCATAGCCAAATTCCAGAGCTCAAAGATCAAGGAGAAAGTATTATAAGCAGTCAAAAAGAGACACTTCAAAAACCGTGGACTTACAGCCATGATTATACAGGATTTGGCAGCTTCCACATTAAAGAACTGGAGAGCTTGGAATATGATATATACCAGAAGGTAAAGGAGTTGGGATTACAACCAAAAATCACCTACCCAGAAAAACTGAATATAATCTTCCAGGGGAAAAAATGAAAATTTAATGAAATAGAAGACTTTCAAGCATTTCTAATTAAAAGACCAGAGTTGAATAAAAAAACTGACCTCTAAGTACAAGACTCAAGGGAAACATAAAAAGGTAAAAAAGAAACAAGAGGTTAAACTATTTATATTTCTATATGGCAAGATACGATTTGTAACTCTTAATTTTATTACCATAAGAGCAATTAGAAGGAGTATATATAGATACTCCAAAAAAACAAAACAAAGAGGTGAGAAAGAAAACTGCACTGGAAGAAGGAGGGGAAGATTGAATGGAATAAATTATCCCACATAAAAGAATCATGAAAACTATTATAATGGAAGGGAAGATGGGGGGGTGGCAGACAAAATTTAAACTTTACTCTTATCAAAATTGGCTCAGAGAGAATAACATATACACTAGTTGGATATAGAAATCGATCTTACTTTATAAGGAAGTAAAAAGGAATAGGGATAATAGAAGGAGGAGGAAGGACAGATAGAAGGGAGGGTATACACACACACGCACGCGAGCACACACACACAAATTCATTTTAACCAGTGTTAGGTAGAAGAGTAGAAAGGAAGATTTATATATACCTCATATCTGGGGAAAAGTCCACCTGACAAGCATATCCTGCCACCATATGACCTTTAAATATTTTTTTCTTATTCAATCTGAATCGGTTCTGTGCTCCGAAAATTAAAATCTGATTGTCCATAGACTGACATGCCAGCCACTTCCCTGAAAGGCAAACAATGATATGAGAAAAAAGACCAAAAAGAGTTACATTTCATTAAAAAAAAAATCATTTTCTTTAATACTCCATCACTATCAACATGAAACTAATATACTTCTTGGAGAATCCTACAGCTGTGCTATATATAGCAGCTCTTAAAATTCTGCTACAGAGCTTTTTTTCCTATCAAGTGGTTGTTTTTGCTCATCTAACTCCATCTTATCCAACAAACATTTATTCAGCACCTACTTGCATACATAGTGAACTGTGTTACACATTGGGGAGATTCAAAATTTAGCCAAGGCATAGCCTCTGCCCCCATGAACCAGTTTAACAAGGAGATAAGACATATACAAATAAAATATTACATGAGGATGCCCTGGGGAGCTGCAAAACAAGGGCTATGTAGTCATAAGGGGAAGATTGCTGTTGCCTGGGGGGATCAGGGCTTCCTAAAGAGGTAAAATTTAACGGAGGAAGAGGAAGAAGGAAAGAATTCTTAGAATCTAAAATGGGCAGGTAGCTTCAAGGTCTTTAGTTGAATACCCTCATTTCAGAGATGAGGAAACTGAGGCCCATAAAGGCAGCATTATATAGTACAAAGAACATTATACTTGGAACTGAGAGAGACCTGGATGGAAAGGTTGTCTGACAGTTTGTTTTATTTAAACTAAGCATTCAGAATTGTGTCTATTCAGTTTAATTGAATAAGCATTTATCAAACACCTAGGTATAAAGCACTGTGTAGGCATTAAGAAGTAAGAGATTAAAAAAGACATAAGCCTTACCCTAGAGGACAGGCAGGGGACTTAGATCATTTACACAGACAAATATAAAACAAGGTAGAGTGTTACAAGAGTAAAGGAGAGACAAAATATATCAAGCAAATCTTACACAGGCTGAAGCAGATGGCTTCAGTGGAGAAGGTAAGCACCTGAGCAAAACTTTGGAATAAAAAGATTTCAAAAGAACAAGATAAAAAAAGTATTCTAAGCATAGGGGATGGCTTGTGAGAAAAATTCTACAAGAAGGCATTTCAAGTTCAGGGAAGACAGAGTTGACTAAATTGGCTAGAAACCAGTGTGTGTGACAGGGAATAAGACTAGAAAGATCTATACCAGGTGTGGGGAACCTGCAGCCTTGAGGCTACATGTGGCCCTCTAGGTCCTCAAGTGCAGCCCTTTGACTGAATCCAAACTTCCCAGAACAAACCCCCTTAATAAAAAAATTTGTCCTGTAAAACTTGGACTCAGTCAAAAGGCTGCACCCAAGGACCTAGAAGGCCACATGTGGCCTCGAGGCTACAGGTTTCCACCCCTGGATATGATTATATGGCCATTAAAAAGAAATCGTTTCAAAGTTTCAGCAAACAACTTAACAAAAGCCATAGGAGGGGAGCCATCATTGTATAATGAATAGAGAAATAAGCCTCAGATGCAGGAAGACTTGGGATCAAGTCCCTCCTCCAACATACTGTTGACACAGGGAGAGTCACTCAACCTCTAAATATCTCACATTCCTGGGAAACTTTCTAAGACATAAAATAGCTGCCACTCTGCACTGGTAGAGTGAGTCCCCTTTCGAGCAGTTCTCTATAGATGTTGGGGTGGGCAAAGATATATTACAAAATGATTCACAAAAGAAAAACTTATATTTTCTGCTTTTGTCCCAGGAAATCTTTTTTGTTTAATCCCTAAAGCCCTCAAGTGAGAAAATAGGTTAAGACAAAGCTGATTTATCAAATTACTGAGCTGCCAAAAGGAATTCTGTCAGTGGAAGAGCTAGGGAAAAAATATGTTCTAATTTTTAGTTGTAAATCCTTAGAGATTTAGCAGATACCAGCTGTAAATCATTGTATTTATTTCTTTGAATACACAAAACAGCATGGTGGGGGATTCAAGTACTGAACTAGTTAAAGTCATCTATAACATAAAGGATTACAAATATACATAACACAATGATAATGAAAAAGGGAATAAAAAACGTCTTTAGTATTGGCAAAAGTACACCATGTTCTATGTCTTCATTTCAAAACATGAATTTTACACCGACTTACCATTTGGAGACAAAGTCACTGCAGGCATTGAATGCATACTGGGTTCTGCTATGTATTTAAAATCTACAGGAATGTCCCTGCAAACCAAGAAACATATAAGGTAAAAACTGAAGAAATTTCTTCAAAAGAAGGAATGTCTAAACTGTTTCCTGTTAAGAAAATCATGAAACACGAGGGGTTAATAGACTAAGAAATGCTGGAATAGTATTGGAATTTTAAAAAAGTACTGAAACTTCCTCATAAAGCTTCTTGGAAAAAGAAAATTATATTGCTTGTAACAACACTTATTGATAATTACAACAAAATTAACATTGTTAGTGACATGTAAAGCAGTGAACAGACTGGAAAACACTTTTAATTCGAAAAATAATATAGATGTAGTTTCCATTTCAATCATCAATCAAGTCTGTATTTTTATTGTATTTAGAACCAAACTCAGCCAAAAGAGCTAAAAAAAAAAAAAAATGGTCAACCTATTTAGCAAATTTCTTTGCACTTAGCCAGGTTGTTCTTCTGTAACATATCACATCCCTTTGCTGAAGCACCCATAATTCTGGTTGGTAGGATTTAACAGAACTTATACTCTATTGGCACTAGCCTACGAGAACTTAGTGTCAATGCTACATCATAAGGAAGCATGGGAATAGGATCTGAGTGAAGATTGCGAGCTGTTCCATTCTCCAGCCCAATATATAATAATACGATGACAACTAGTATCTTACGTAGTTTCAAAAGTAAGAATCGTATGGTCTGAAGATGTCTCTCTTGAAACAGAGAAATCAAAGGCTGGGTGAGCACTTGTCAGATATGTAGGGGGAGAGGGGAAGAGTCTTATTCACACAGAAACTGGATTTGATGACCTCTAAGGCCCCTCCAATTCTGAGGTCCTCTGAAGAGATTGTTGTATCTTCTCATGGATTTTTAAGGAAGATTGTAAAAGCAAAATAAGATCCTTCTATTTGAAAAGAATGGGCAGCTTTTAGGGAAAAATAATTCATAACATTTCATAAAATTGCCAATAGGCTAAATCAATTTATAATAGTCATACTTTTACATCTATTTGAAAGCTGCATAATGTTCTTAGCTTGTGAGAAAAACCATGTGTGTTAGTTAAAGATACAAGGGAATCTGGCCAAAGATTACATTTGTACCTCTGGTCATAAATATGCAAGGCAAGATTCAATGAAAACCTAGGCAAACTGCTGAGGAAAACAAACAAACAAACTCAGATTTGCATATCCTTCTAATGGGGTGTGGCATGGTGGGGGTGGAGCACAGTTACTGTATATGATAGTATAAAAACCTCACTGACAAGGCAGACTCCAAAGGCAGTATTATTTTCAAAGGGTTGTATTTTTTCTGATTTGTCTTTGGTTGTCCATTTCCCTACTGTTTGTTTAGCATAAACTGTGTCAGACTTCACTAGGATGGAAACTCACCATTCCCAAACACGTAGGCTCTTATCGTCAGAAGTGCTCACAAACCTCCTATTCTCATCCACAAACACAATGGTGTTGACAGCTCCCAAATGCCTATCGTATTCTTGCACGATCTCCCCACTTCTGATGTCCCACTGCAGGTTGAACAGCAGAGTACAAAGAAGTTAGAAATGGTGCACAATTATTAAAACAACAGGATAAAAATTCACTAAGTTTGGGAAGCACAGGGGAGAAGATGACAAACATCAAGTTCTCAAGAGTTTGTTGATTCTTAAAAAAAATGTGACTGACTACAAACCAGTTTTTTTTTTTAAATACAAAATTTCTAATTATATATTGTGGGCAATTTCTCTGAAAATCTCAGCTGGAAACATAATATGTAGGTCTAAAATATTAAGATTTTTTTATTTCATAAACACTTACTTGTACAATCTTCTTATCTGACATACCAGCCACAAAAAGATTCTGTTTATCTTCATCAGGATTGAACTTCACACAATAAGGAACTTTCCGGTTTGTAAATCTTGATATACACTGACCTAAAATCAAAACCCCAAATTACCTGTCAATTTGACCATTTAAAAGCAAACTTGAGTTAAGCCTATTGATATAATAAAACTTTCATGAAGGACAAACAGCTTGCTTGTTTCAAAACTTTAGGCTATCTTATTTTTCTTCTCAAATTATAATCAGTTTTTTACTAAAGAAGCTAAGGAAGGAATTTCTAAAATTCACAGTGAATGGAAAGTGTGCACAAGTCTCAGAAATAAGAAAAATTACAATTAAGTAGTGATCTTAGATATATGAAAAACTGGAATAATAAGGAGAATGAAAGCTCAGGCTAATGAGACAGTTAATGCATCATGTAAAGCTAACTTGTCTAAAGAAGGGTAGAGAGGCATCACTAGGACAATATACTAAACAGTTGAAGCTATTCCAACAGAAAGCATTTTGAGAAGATTTCATATTTGCTAATCTCTGAAAATGTCTGCTTATGAAGAGAAATAAAATGGATATAAAATCACTTTTATTCATTATATTAACCCCCCCTCAATTAATAGTGCAATTTTCTTTGTGAAAGACCATTTGCAAATTGAAATTTAACTCTTCAAGAGTTGTCAGAAGTAGCAAGGAAAAATTTAAGAATGATAACATTTTACTGTAAGCAAACTGAAAAATTCTAACAAGCTAAACAATTACATAGTAATTTGGCTATATTACTTTGAAAATTTTACCTGTCTCCGTGTCCCAGAGCTTAAGATATCTGTCATATGCTGCACTGAGGAACTGAGTTCCTACACCATTAAAGCAGATATCTCTAACAGCTTTACTGTGACCTAAGGATAAATAAAAAAACTGGTGATGAGGAGGAGAGAAAAGTTAATTTTCTCTTAGAATATAAACTCCAAGAAATAAACTAAATATTTTAGTATACTGGGACTGATAGTTTAAAAAAATTACTATAGCATTTCCTAACAGTCAGTATAAAACATCCAATAGTTAAAGGTATGCAACTTAATAAGCCAATTACTGTCAAGAAGAAAGGCAGAAACTGATTTTTTGGCGTTGGTTGCTTCTGAAATGGCATGTTCTGAACTATGAGTCACACTTATGATGTATTTTGATACATGTGAACCAAGTAATTTATCTTCTTTTAAAGGGAGAGAGGCAAAACACCCAGAACAAAAAAAAAAAGAAAAAAAGAGAGACAGGAAATGTTAAATGGTTCAATCAAAGCAGACACTTTATTTGATTTGGTAAAAAGGAACCTGAATGATCAGATGATGGGGAATAACTATGTGGCCATCATCTTCCTAAGAGTCTTTCCCCTGTGTCTTCAGAAAACAGTTCCTTCTCTCTCAATATGGCGGAGGCCTACACTGTTCCCTTTTGGTGCTGTTTCCAGGATCGGATTCATATTCTTGCAGGTTTCCCTCATTTTACTTCCTGTGGGTACTTAAAGACATCAGCAAGCTTTTGGCTAATGAAAAGAGGCTGATAGAGGAGTGGAAAAGCTAGCTATGTAAGACTGCCATTCACAAATAATATCTGACAAGTACCTTAAAAAAACTCAACAACCTATAAAGTTTGTACCACATCATTCGTGTATAAATGCCACTGAAAGACTTCAATATCTTTCAAAAAGATAAACAGTTTAATCAATTACCCTATTTATCTGCAGAGTTCTATATGTAAAGTGATACTAATACTAGCATGGCATTTTCAGAATAGAGTCACCCAAAACAGGGCATTACATAGATACAAGGATACATAATTAGAATCAATGTATCTATGGCTGGTGCCAGATTCAAAGCTAAAAGTGCTTTTGGTAACAATATAATAAATTCTTTCTCTTCACAAAAGTCCATGTTTGTGACTAACAGATTCAATACCACCTCAGTATCAACTAAAAACAAGCAAAATGCCCAACATTGCTTTCACTTGCTAAATTAGCTTGGTCACTTCTTTATTCTCCCTAGGGGCTTCTACACTTTATTTCCAAATGCAGATTCCATGGACATGAAACACCCTTACACTGATTTCCTCTTCCCCAAAGAGTTTTTCCCCCACTGATACTCACCAATCCAAATGAAGCATTTTTGCTAGGCTGCAAAGATCAATAATAATAGTACCCTTGAGTGGTTTACTCCCTACCTATGAACAAGTGAATACAGCCATAAAACTTTCTTCTTCTATGAAAGATATATATAAATCATCTGGCAGCAGACTGACACCTAATTACTACCAGCTATCTAACTTCACCATGAACAGTCAATGCACAAATGGGACAAACAGATTTCTTACAACAAGCCTTGCTAACAGAAGAATGGTTAATAGTAAAATCACATGATCAGGAGTGCTATTTTTGGATACAAAATACATTACTCCACAACTAAAACTTATGTGTATATGTATGTGCGTGTACACACACACACATGAATATATATATACCCCTATATACACACAGAATACATACTATACACTTATACATAATGTGTATACACACACACACACATATATGTATATACATATATAAAGAGAGAAATATTACCAACAAACGTTCTCAAACAGCGCCGATCTCCATAAACTTCCCATAGCTGTGAAAAAAATGGAAATATTAAACTGCACTCATAAGTTCAGTAAAATGACAAGTTTTATTATTAACAGTCATGGTCGTAGAAGCATGGAGATATGCTACTGGTTTTGAAATTTAACTATTTTGTTCTATTCATTTAAAACCATAAAGTTCTTTAATAATAGCCAAAAAAAGTCAAAAGAAATTCTGCCCACAACTTCCAAATCTCGTATCCAGGAGAAATATGTTATGATTATATAAAATCTAATATGCTTACAATTACTCTGTAATTACCTAAAACTGATCTTTTCTCAGGGTTAAGGGGAATACAATGCCAATCTGCATACATAATAATACAGATGTTAGGCAGAAACTAATGGCTTAAATCTCGGACTTCCTTGCTTATATGTTTTAAGCTCCTATAGGCAAGTGGTCAAATGGCTGCTCTAGTCAGAGGAAGCTACTACTTCATGGACTCCTCTCCTTCATATATTTAGGTTTACAGTTATGAAAAATTTATGAAGGATGAATTTTTAATACAGAAGTTTTTGAACCCCAAGACCACTACGGGGCTGACATTTCTCAAACTACCATAACATTTCAGGTATGCACAAAACACATAAAAATACACATTCTGATTTTGTCTGTCTTAGTATGTAAGTTGGCCCTTTCAGGTTAAAAAGAAAGACTAAAGCTGCAGTTGACTTACATGTTGAGTGTACTGGCAAAGAGCCTTACCTATACTGATTTTGTCATTGTTGCTATAGTACCAGCTCAGTGGTCAGAGATCACTTACCAGGATACACAAAGCACCAGAGGTATTTCTGCTACCTCTTGAGAGCCACTGTCAAGAAGAGTTGTGGGTCCCAATTCTGCCTTCATCCCTTCCAACATTTGTCACTTTCCCCTTCCATAATTTTAGCCAATCTGGTAAGTGTAAAATGATAGCTCTAGGTTGTTTTAATTTGCATTTCTCTAATCAATAATGATTTAGAGCATTTTTTCATATGAGTATAAATTGTTTTGATTTCTTCAGTTATTAACCTATACCCTTTGACCCAGCAATACCACTACTTGGTCTATTTCTGAAGATAATTAGGGAAAAAGAAAAAGAACCCATATGTTCTAAAATGTTTATAGCAGCTCTCTTTGTGGTGGCAAAGAACTGGCAATTGTAGGGTGCCCCTCAATTGGGGAATGGCTGAACAAGTTGTGGTATATGATTATGATGGAATACTACTGTGCTATGAGAAATGATTAGCTCAATGATTTTAGAAAAACATGGGAAGACTTGTGTGAAATAATGAAGAGCGAAATGAGCAGAACCAAGAGAAGAGCAATATTGTTTTAAGAACAACTTTGAGCAAGTAAGTTTTTTTGATTCTTATAAATATCCAAATTAACTATAAAGGACATATGAAGAAAGATGTTACCTGCACCTAGAAAAAGAACTGATAAAAAGACGTATAGAACAATTACACACACACACACACACACACACACACACACACACACACCCCAATTTGTGTCTAATGTTAATCATCTCCAGGGCAGTGGAGGGAAGAAAAAAAATTTACATAATAATTTTGTTGTATATTTGAAAGGAATAGCAAGTTGTGCATAGTAGATTTAGAGTTTCATGTGCAATCATGTTTTTAAATTGTACTATGTTACGGAAATGTTTGTCTATTCCATAAACTAAAAATAAAATTCAAAAACAAAACCAAAATTTAAAAAAAAAAAAAAAAAAAAAGAATAGTTGTGGGTCAAAAAGGCTACCCATGTTGAATACAATTAATGGATGGATTTTTATATGGAGAAATTAATATCAGCCTATACTCCAGGTCCACTTATACCCTTTGAAATATAGTTTAAACAACTGAAAAGATGTGCCTGATAGTGAGATAATAAATCCTTGTCATTGGACATTTTCTATATGACAAGAGACATGAATGGTAAATGAATTCCAGACAAGAATGCTTTCTGAGAAAAAGTTAAGAATAGTTGTAGAGGAAAAAAGCTTTGGGTAAGTGTCTTTGGTCAGAAAGAGGTAACAGGGAAAGATAGTTTGGTAGGTAGTCTCTAAGGCCCTTTTGTATTGCTATCGAGCTGTAGCCTTTTAAAGTTAGCCATTTTAAAATGGTTTTGAAGAGCAGAATAGACATTTTTCTATTGGTGTTATTAATCATTTTTTGAGGAGCTAGACTAACTAATGTGCCAGACAAGTAACAGAATTGATAAGCCAAATTAAACTTTAAAAACTAATATGCCCCCCAAACCAACAATGAAAGTACAGAACTGATTACAAATTTAATACAAAACCACCCAGAAAATCTCAACAACTAAAATGGGAAAATGTTGTACATGATAAAGAACCTAGAAGCTTTAAGCTAATCTTAAAACTCAGGTCTTGTCAGTTACTAGAGCTTAAAGAAACATTATTTACATTACGGAAAAAAAAAGATCTGCACAATTTAAGAACAAAACAATTATTTTCCTCACCCAAGTTTCTTTTTATTTATTCATTCAAATTGAATATGTGAGTCTGTTATCATGCATATTGATCTCATATAATAAAAGAACCATAGAAGAATATCTACTAATGTTCAACATTTATTTGTTTGAGCCTGAAATTGTGATTTCATAAACCTGGAAAGTGGACAGTAATGGAATTCCCTTTATCAATGAAGGCTGGCCAAATGTCCTGCAACTTACAGTTTTTAGAGAGTGGTCTGATATGAATGCCAGTGAAAAAAGATAACTGAAATATTATCATAAATGCTATTTTTTTGCAACAGTAGCTCAAACTGGTAATGTCACACATACTTATTTTAGTATTTAAAAAAATTACAAAAAGTCCAGAAAAGTCTTAAACACCACATTAGAACAGATAAAGCTAGCAAAATTTAATATTTTTGTTACATGTAAACTAATGTCTCTTTATGAAAATGGGCAGAGAATGACTGGAGAAATGGCATGTGCCAGAGCCAAGAGTATGAAAGAGGAAAAATAATGGCCTTTTGGGATAAACTACAAAAAGGTAGGAGTTTGGGCACTAAATTACTTTAAAGAAGGTAGGAGTAGACTGAAGAGAAACAGAAAGAAGCTGTGTATGAGAACAAAGCCCAGGGCTTTTTTAGCACAAAGTACTGTGGAACAAAGTAAAGGTTCTAGATTACAATAAGAAAAAAGGTACAAGTAAGCAGCAATAGGTAACAATTGAAATTAAGGGTAAGAAAAACCACAATATTATATCTAGCTTTTATTATTTCTTCAAATCCTACTCTGTATTGTTTTTAAAGGACAACAGAGTTAGAGATAAAAGGGATCTCAGAAGCCAGTCCAACACCCTCATCTTATGGCTGAGAAAACTGAGGCTCAGTGATTGAGGTGAAGTAATTTCCTTGGGGTCACTGGGCTAGTCAGCACTGGAGACTGAATACAAATCCCAGTCCTTTGACTCCAGAGCCAGAGTTCTTTCCACTCCATGGTGGTGTTTCCCACCTTCTTTAGAGGTGGGTCCCTTGTGTGGTCCAGCAGCAGCTGTGGCTGCTGCCATGTGTGAGAAGATAACCAGGAATGAGAAGGCTTCTGGGGCAGTCTAGGCTCTGTCACTCTACTCTCTCTGTGACCCTTAACTTCTCAGAACCTCAATTTCCTCATCTGCCAAGTGAAGATAATAACAGCTGTCCTCCTAACCTCATAGGGCTGCTGGAAGGAGTTTGCTATGTGTGAAAGATTAAAATGAGGTACTGAATACAAGGGGGCAGCTAGATGGTGCAGTAGAGAATGCTGTTTGCCTCAGTTTCCTCATCTGTAAAATGAGTTGGAGAAGGAAATGGCAAAACACTTCAGTATCTCTGCCAAGAAAACTCCAAATAGGGTCACAAAGAGTTGAACACGACTGAACAATCATTGAATGTCAAAGTTCTTTGAAAAGGATAAAATACCTTAGACATAACGTGAGGCAATATTGGTGATGAGTTCAAAATATGTTTTAATAATTTATAAAATATAAAAAAATTAATCCATATAATCTCACTTATCTAAGCTTTCCAAAAAACCCAACTGGTTGACTCAAGAACCTTAAACAAGATACCACCCATCTATATTATCTAATATATGGTTATCTAAATTTCAAGCATAGTGGCCTATGAGAAAATAATCTGCCTCCTAAGAGCTAATTTGGCAAACCCAAATGTAAAATGATGGTGAAGGTCACAAATTTTCAAGCAAAAGTGCTAGTTATATATAGGATGTCCTAAAAATCTCGGTGCAGTTTTCAGCTAGTAAGACCTAAGCCTTTAAATAGCTTCAAAGCAATTTAAAAGTTATTAAAGCTTAAAGCTGCACCAAAACTTTTGGGACACCTATGCAATATTCCTATTTTATTCAGCTCAGTGATGACAAATTCGAAATATCTCACCTTAATTTTGCAGTCCATGGAACAAGACAGTAACAAATGGCCAGAAAGAGGAAACAGCCTGACAGCACTGACACCCTTTAAATGAACATTACAATAATTAATTGGAAAAAGGAAAAAAAAAACATATATTGAAATAAGAAATGAAAAAAAAAAGGATTTTTAATAGAAATTTACTAGTCTCTCCTTCCCTGCAAAAATTATGTCCTCAACTAAACTTAATAATAAATTCAGGAACAGATGCCCTGCTGCAAACACAGCTTTTGAAGTCCCTTGAAAAAAACAAACAACAACAAAAAACCAATTGATACTCATTGGGAGGGCACTGCTGATTTATTCAAACAGTTGATTTACCCCTTCCCCCTCCCAAATGCAGTATGACAGCTCTTTGTAAAAAGCTGCAAATTGTGGGTCTTGGAATGAGTACAACCAACAAAGAATTTCAATATAAAATGCCTCCTACCTTCTTTCCATCTAAATCCTTCAGAATAAATTTGTTTATAAGCCTAAAATGTCAATTATTTGCCTCTGTTGAATATTTTGTTTTTTATTGAGTTAGTCTGAATATTGCTACCTTCTCACCTGCTACTTTTTGCTCCTCCAACGTGAAAAGATCCCAACAGGGGACAGAAAGAGGAGGGTAGACCTTTGGTTACTGAAACTGAAGGGAGGGTTCAGTGACAGCACCCCTGCCTTGTTACTCAACAACTTCACTGTTTGCAGGGAGATGAATGCATTAGTGACTTCCAGGCACATCTCTATCCTTGACAAGAGACTCTGGGGAACTACAGGGAGGGTGGGGGAATATCGGTAGTTGTTACTGCTGTGCTTAAGTAAATCAGTATTAAAGATCAGCTGGTTGTTTGTGTTTAAATGGTTGGGAAACTCAATGTCAACCATTATTTCCAAAATTAATAACGGAATTTTCAAAACTGGCCTTTCTATAATGACATTACAACAAAATGGAAATAGCAGTTTCTACCTTTGTATGTCCAGACCAAACATGGATCTGTTTTTTCGGAAGATAACATTTCTCAGGTGGTACTGTAGAACGGAGATTAACACCGACATCTTGAGGAACATGAAGATAAGACCTGCCTTGATAGTCATACATTTCTTTGACTAAAAGAGAAGACAAAGGAAAAGAGAATAAATAAACTATTCACAAAAAAGTTATAAATTAAATAGCTCTGCAGTCATTTTAAAACAAGATTATGCCATTTTTAAGAGTTCATATTTACTTTTTAATAATACAAAGACTTGTGCAAGCTTAATTGATTGGAATTATAGCTATTATGAACAATTAGATGTATTGTCAAATTTCTAAATTGCTAAGAAAGGTCAGATATACACTTTTTAATAAGAAATCTCTTAGTCATGTCTACAATTTGGTGATTTATAAAATAGTTTATAACATAGTTGTGGAAGGAAAAGTCATTTGATTATACCTATATTTCTAAAGCTCCACAACTTATTTCTTCCCTCCGTGGACACAAGAGAGCAACTTTGTAGTAGACAGCTTCATGAGTTACCATGACAGAAAGAATCTGTAAACTGGTGGTCAACTTTATGGTAATAAGCTTCTCCAAACTTAGCTAGGCTGGTCCTTAGACAACAGCTTGTCCTTAAAAATGGCCTCAGAGTTTCTGCAACATGGAGGCCCTGCTAAAACTTAGAAAGGCAATACAGTGATTTGGAGCCAGAGGGGTCTGGGATTCAAATCCCACCTCCAACAACAACTAGCTAGTTGTCCATAAGCAAGTCACTTAAACTCTGAGACTTAGTTTCCTCATTTCTAAAACGGGAATAATAATAATAATAAAAATCATATCTGTCCCACCTATCTCAGTATTATTATGAGGATCAAATTAGATAATGGCAAGGGGGAGAAGGGAATAAGCATTTATATGGTGCCTACTCTGTGCTAAGCACTTTAATTTATCTCATTTGATTCTCACAACAACCCTTCAAGATAAGTGCTATTATCTCCATTTTACAATTGAGGAAACTGAGACAAACAGAGGTTAAATGACTTGCCAAGAGTCACACAACTAATAAGTGTCTGAGGCTGGATTTGAACTTAAGTCTTCCTAATTCCAGGCCCAGCACTCTTATCTACTGCACTGCCCAATACATGTAACGTGCTTTGTAAATTTCAAGCACTGTGTAAATATGAAGTATCCTTATATTAACCATTCAATTGGCTGAGACATTCAGAACCCAAGGCCAGTTCCAGGCCATGATGAGGCACTGGATTAGGAAAGAATTTAATTATAAACAGAAACTTTATCTACAATACTGAGAAGAAAAGAAATAACATTTAAGCATGAATAGATGGCATTTGTTGCAAGCCATCTTAAATCAGCAACAAAATGGAGTATAGATAGAAAAGTGATTTTCCAAGCAGGAGAAATGGTTTTTCCTTTTCCCACTTGCATCCTTTGTCTGAATCCTCTTCTAAACCACTTTTTTCTTAAATTCAGGGCAAATTTTCTAGTGGAAATACAAGAGTATCCACAGTGCTATAGTGGGTGCTCCGAGAAGATGAATGCAATTTCAAAGCCACATTGAGTATAAACATTTGTTATGAGATCCTTAAAATAACACTGATGTTTTAAAACATTTGAATTATTAAAACTTCAAGTGCTACTGTGTCAAATGAGAATCAAATCAGCATTCCACCTCAAAAAAGTATGGCTAATGATGTAAGAAATTGAAGGTTATTTAGGGTTTGTCTTCTTTCTTTACCATATTACTAACCATTAGCACCTCCATCAGAAATACAGAGGTAGAGAGAAAAAGTGAAAGAGAAACCAGTTACCTTTACCAGATTTCTTTTCAAAATTTAGAGAATGAAAATAATGGTTCCAAATTTTAATCAAAACTGCCCAGATTTAATTACTTAAGTTATTCTTGCCCCCATTAGTGAATACTTGAGTTCACTGACTTTAGTGTTGTAGAATTCACCTAGCATAAGAATCTAAATGTATAACTGGATGATTTTCAGTTAATGCTGAGGACAATCAGTGTCATCTGGACTGTGTACCTAGACCTACTTTTTTACAAAAAGCAGGCACTCAAAGTTTTCAATGTATGATTTAAAAGAGAAGTCAGTATAAAAAGTACATTACCATGTAAAATGGTCTTTTCTTCCCCAGGTTTGTCATCCTCATGTTTGCCTTTCTTTTGCCTCTTGGCTGTGATTTCATCTAATTCTTTCTGTTCTTCCTATAAAAATCAAGTACATTACTTTAAAATCCAAGTTCTAGATCTCACCTTACACTAAAATCATCTATAAGTTGTTTTAACAAGCCTGCTGACTATAACAAAGGGTCTTCTTATAGCACAAAAGTGGTGGCAAAGATAATGCCTAAGTTTAAAGTGGTCAAATTTCCCCTAAATTAGAAAAATGAGTATATTTTAAAGAGTAGAGAACTTTAGAATGGAAAATCATAACACATCTTGTTAATCAATAAGCATTAATTAAGCCTTTACTATGTGCCAGGCTCTGAGGAGCAAAGAAAAAAGCAAAATAAGTCATTACCCTCAAGGAACTTACATTCAAGAAAATGAACGAGGGTTTTGGTTTTAGGTACTTTTTCAACCTGACCGTAAGTTCCTTATGGCTAGGGATCACATTGTTTCTTTTGGAACTTAGTGTATAGTATAGTACTAGAAACATAGTAAGGGTTCAAATACTTTCCCCTGGTTGACTTATATTCATAAATATTTAGTGGTACCAATATCAGAATTATAAGACTGGTTTGGAATTTACGGCAGACATGATCTTAAAGTAATCCTAAAAATATAATATAAACAGAGTATCAGTGCTTAGTGAAAACATTCTTATATCCCTTAGAGAGTATAAACGTGTAAGGCCAATAAGAAATATTAGTGCTTACTTCTGAAGGTTTAGCTACTTCTTTTTCATCTACATATTTTGCCCAAGGTCCTAAGAAACCATCAATATTTGATGCATCATTTTCTTTGAACTTTTTTCTCTTTTCTGTTTTTTTCTGTCCAGTTTCAAACACAGTTAAACCTGTAAGACATCACAAACATATTTAGTAAAGAAAAGATGAGTTTTACATACACAGGGAGTGATAATGAATAGACAGTTTTCAAAGAATATATAACACAAGGCACAGCTTAACCACAGAGTCTTACCCCATAATTTGTAATCCATTCTTTTGGTAAGGAAGCTCTCTGGCCATTAAGGTGCTTTATGCATGCTGTTATAATATTTAAGTATTCTTAAACGTTTAATGAATCAGGAAATTGAGTAACTTTTCAATAACACAGAATCCTCTCTGAATGAACTTTACTTTGACCATAGTGCCTCCAATTTCAAAGAAACTAACAGTTTAATACTGCAAATTAAATAATGAATAAAACTTGTTACTAAGCTGTCAACTTGGACATTTTATTTATTTATTTTTTTATGAAGTGGTAGATTGTCATTTAAAAAACCTATTCAATTCAAAGCCAACTTCCAAAATGTTTTGGCTTCTTTATCATTTAATACAACATTACAAAGTAAATATGGCTGTATTAATATCAGTTTGTTATGTTTTCAAGTGATCTTAACATAAAGCTGACATCTAATTACAGAATTTTAGAGGTAGAGGGCATTTAGTTCAAACTGCTAACCAATGCAGAAATTTCTTCAGCAGCAAGGGGAAGGGAATAAATATCTATATAACGCCTTTTATGTGCCAGGCACAGGGCCAATTGCTTTATAAATATTATCTCATTTGATCCTCATAACAACCCTGTTATATTCCCATTTTAAAGTTAAGGAAACTGAGGCAAAGAGAGGTTAAGTGGCTTGCCCAGGGTTACATAGTAAGTATCTGAGGCCTGATTTGAACCCAGATCTTCCTAACTCCAGGCCTAGCACCTTATCCACCATCATATTTAGCTGCCAATGCTAGCACAACACTAACAGTCTTTCATTTACTTTCTACTTGAATACTTTCAAACATGGCAGTGGCAGGGAGAATTCATTATCTTACATGACAATTTATTCTATTGTTGTCCATTAGACATTGGAGAGCAGAGACTTTTACTTTTCCTTTAATTCCCAGTATTTAGCACAATGTCTGACACAGAGCTGCTTAATATTTACTATTTACTTTTTTTACTATTTTTTTTTACTATTGGACTACTGAATAGATCTAGTTATTATAAACTTGTTTTTTCTAATATTAAGCTAAAATTAGCTTCCCTGTAACCTCCATTAATTAATTGTTCCTAGTTCTGCCTTCTGTAGCAAGAACAAATCTCCTTCTCCTAGGACAGCATTTCTGGTGTTCCCTTAGCCTTTTTTTTTTTTCCAGGCCAGATACCCCGTTTCTTCATCTCTTCCTTAATATTTCCATACTTTTCACCATCTCAGATCTTATCCCTCTGGAAACACTTTGATTATCTCCTTAAAATATAGCACATAGCATTAAAATACTCCAAATGTGGCCACTAGCAAAGACCACAATAAGACTAATATTTGCTATAATCTGGATTTGATCATATGAACTTTATTCCCCCCACCCCAGGTATACCATACTGGTGGTCTGTAATAAGCTTATCTTTTAGCACAAGAACTATTGTCAACTCAGGTTTACACTATCCTGTACTTATGCAGTTTGTTTATTTAAACAAAGATATAGGATTTATTTTCTGTCAGAGATTCTATACTGCTATGGGCTTTTTTCCATCATCAAGAAAATATAAATATCTTTTACTATAATTTTTAAAATGTTCACATATGTCCAGTTAGTTACATTTTTAACAATGGCTTATTATGTAATTAGCCTTGAGTGATTTACAGTAAATGATGACAGAAACAGCCCAGATAATGAAATCCAGAGTCAATTCAATCCAATAAGCATTAGGTTATTTCACTCTTCCTGATGGTGAAGACTTTACGAATTACTGAGAAGTCAAGGTGGCTGAAACCATTGTTGTCCCCAGCAGATGGAGGACACAGAAATCTTCCTCTTATGAACACAGCCTTTCCATCTTCTAATGGTAACTCCTAGGTCAGGTGCCAGGGATGTACTACATTTGCCATGGCTGAACTGGAACCATCCTAGACCTGAAACTGTCTCTGTCCACGTGGAAAAGGAAACATAGGAAAGGCCAAAATAGAAAAGAGATCTGCAGGGAGGTAAACATGCTACAGATTATAAAAGAGGAAGGAAAGAAAAATTCTATCTTTGACTGAGAGTCTGAAGACAGCAGCAAAAGGTTACAAAAGCAGAGGAATTTAAATGGGTTGCTGGTGACACAGATACATTATGGTACAACATATTTCAGGGAATAAAATGGCTATACATTTATGTTTTAGTAAAAACTTGGAGCAAGTTGATGTTTAAAAAAAACTATATACAAATTATATTAATTATTTACTACACAGACATACATGTCCTGTTAGCATTGAACAGCTTTCCAAGTATTCAGGCTATACAACAGGCTATTATTCCCCCCACTTCTCCCTCCCTGAACCCCCCTGCCAGGCACCTGGAAAAACTATATGTATTATTATGAGAAGAAAATCGGTCCTTTCTATGGCACAAAAAGAAAACTGCTTAAATATAACCACACCTTCCAAAATCAGAAAAAAAATCAAGTACAGACTATACCTAGTTATTACTCTATAATGGGAGTGACCAATTTACAATAGAATTAAGTGCAAGGATGGACTTAATATTTATTGTTCAAATTCTAGCCTAGTTAAATATGGAAGGTGATGAATTTTTCTACTACAGCAACTCTTAAAGACCATCCATTAAGCTAGAGAAAGGCAGCATCCACACTGACAAAATTATAGATCCTTGACATAATGAAGCATGCAAGTATCAAATATTAAAATAATTTACCTTGATTTTTCTCAGCTTCTTCTACAGACCCAATATATTTAGTAGAAACTTGATGATTATCTAATGAGGGGTCCAATGCGTAACCTAAATTGAAAAAAAAAAGGGAGGCAAACTGTCATTTGAATTTTTTGCCAGTCACAATTTTATAACTGCATAAATAACTTCACATCCCATTTCCTCGACTAAAATGCATCAAAAATTCTCTTCACTTAATAACAATCATCTTTCTCTGTCATATATTTCTAGTTAAATCCATAATTAGAATTCTTAGTCTGGACTACAAAAAGTCTATAGCAGAAAAGGATAAATGCTATTCTTTCAGGAAATTAATCACACTAAAATTACTATGATCTTTGCTGGTTGTTTAAACCTTTGTCTAGTTTCTAATAAGATAGTAATACATGTATATACAAATATACTAAAAAGGTCAATCATAAAATAGTAATCACTTTTAATTATTTACTGATACCTAACATTCCAAGGTTTAGTTAGGAAAAGACCAAATATTTTTTTTAATTACATGAAATAGGGTAGGGAAGAGAACTTTTAAAAATTAACACCTTGTTGTACATTTTGCAAAAAGCTCATTTCTATTTTTGGTAAGAATATTTTCATTTCCTACCCTAAAATAATAGTTTATTTATAATCACTCCAGATTTGAGATATTTCAGTGGTAGGTGACTAATTTAAAAATACATTACCTACAGGTCTCTAGAGGGTTTTGGAAACAAGGAAAAAAGGGCCAAATACTAATCGAAAACAAATAACACATTTTATAATACTCTTTAAGCATATGCTACTTGAACATCCAAAGGCAACTTAATTTCCAGTATCATAAACCACCAAGGCCATAATTTGCTTCCACAGAGAACTTATATGGAATATTTTATTATAGATACTTTTTAGACATAGAGGGGGTGGGAGTTAGGAATAGTAAAAGTATGTATCTCTGTGGACATATGCAAGTTGATAGTTTTTATTCCTCAGCTAAAGTTTATTAATAAAGACTCTGCTTTCTCAAGAATCAAGATTTAAGTCAAATATACTTGATAATAAGTTCTTAATAAGCTAAATGGTACAGGTGCTCAACTCACCCTCTTGACATGCTAGAATAGAACCAACCACCTGGCTATTAGTTCATTTGCATTTACTTTTCAGCATTAAAATATTTTCTTAGCCAGAAGAGATAGCTTGATGGTAGGAAAGCAGCTTTGGAGTAGAATCCCTGAAATCACAGGTTCAAATCCCATGAGTCAATTTAGTCTTTCATTCCTTTAATGTACAGAAAATTCACTGTACATGATCTTTTTGAATGAGACTTTAAAGAAGTTAAAAAAAAATTAAGTTGATACCCCCACTAAAGAAGCAACACAACTATAAAGACTTGCATGGGAAGTAAACTAGTCTTTAAAATGGATCTTTCTCTACATACATACCTGTGCACTAAAGTTCTGGTGATAAATGAGACCGTTTTCTGGTTCTTCCTGCCTCCATGTATTCCCCAAATTCTGCTACAGTTTTTGTCTAGAAGGAGGAAACATACTCCCTCTTCTCTGTTCACCACTATCAATAAAACCCCTCCTTTTTTTGTACCCCCTTTCTAACCTTTCTGCATGGAAGAAAAAAAGTAGAGTTCATAAAATCACAGGAGTTAGAAGAGGCTTTAGAGATCACCCTCTAATATCAGAGATAAGGAAACTGGCCCAGGTTGGTTAAGTGACTTGCTCATGGCCACAGGGGCAGTAAGAAGCAGAGCCAGAAGCTATCAAATCAACCAACCAACAAGGATTTATTAAGTACCTGCTTTTTGCAAGACACTGTACTAAGCACTGTCAATAAAAAGAAAAAACAAACAAAAGTCCCTGCCCTCAAAGAGCTTATAGTCTAACGATAAGTATATAAGCATATATACAAAATGGTACAAGGTAGTTTTGAACCCAGGTCTTCTGACTCCAAATCCAGTGTCATTTTTGCTGCCTTATACAAAGTTCCCTCTATTTCCTAATTCCCTTGCATGCTTTCTTCAACAACCATTCAGTTCCAACCAACCCTATACTTCATATATGTATATAGAAAATGGAATAAAAATGCATGTGAGTGGACCATGAGGAAAAATTAATTTTCAAAGTAACAAAATATTTCTCAATTTTATGAAAGTTAACTATTCTTAAATAGAAAAGTATCCACCTAACCTGGCACACATACATAGATCTTGTGTAGTAACACAACCACAATACCAATTTGGATAACAGTGTATCATTCCTTAGAGTTTAAAATCCATTATATGTTTTTCTTTTATTTGTCATTATTTTTTACTTTCCTTTTTCAAAAATTCAATTTTTCCCTAAGGTAGGTAGAGAACGGTATACGTCTTTCACCATCAAGACAAAAAAAAAAAAAAAGAGAAGTTCTTATCTCAAATACTCATTAGGAGTAAGAGACTAAGTCTGGTTGAGATCTGCCTTAGAGAATTCTGACCTTTTTTCCACTGCACCATACTTTAGCCAATGAATATCTTTATTTTATTTCGTTATCAATACGTATAGTCTATTTTTTCCTTTTGAAGCTTGTCTTGTTTACTTAAAAAACAAAAATACTCTTATTAGCTTCCTTTTAGCAAATTTGTCTGGAATAGGCCCAATGTTAGGCAGATTTAAGACAGTCTACAAATTGGAGAAATTATAATTTTTGCCTAAAATTTCCCAAACTGTCTAATCATGGTATAATTGCTAGTACTTGGGGGAATAAAAAAGACAGAGTCAAAACATTCATTAAATTATTTAGTAAATCCGCTTCACACTGTTACAAGTTTCAACTCTTGCCACAACAAAGACAATCCTTATGAGCCTGTAATCTGCCAGATAGGACTTATACTTTATACCATTCGTTTGACATTGCGCCATCTAGTGATTAGACATGAATCAAAGGCTATTTTTAAAAGATTGAGGCTATTTTAAAAGTTAAGGGAATGATTCTCTCTGCTTGCTAAGAGAATATTTATTGAGAGAAAAAAGCAAGGCAATTATTAATGCCATTTGAAAAATGAGAAAACTGAAGGTCAGAATGGTTAAGTGATATACACAAGGTCAAACATTTAGTTACTAGAGTAGATGGGGCTCAATTTCTGGGTTTTTGACATCATATCTAGTGTGCCTTTTGCTACATGACCCTCCATTTTGGCACAGCTTCCAAGACCACTGTGAAGCAAGAAAAAAAAAACCACCTACTTTAAGCTGAGTGTAAAGAATAATAGACTAATTCATATTTCAGATGAGAATCAGACTTCTGCTTATTTCATTAACTCATTTTTCTTTGTACTTGATAACAAAGGGAATTAATGGTGGACAGTGCTGAATACTTTTTTCAGAACTTACTTATTTAGGCATATGAAATAAGAACTAACTACGGCTTTTGTCTTTGCTTGAGGACAAAAATCATTCTTTAAGACCTAGCTCAAATGTCTTTTCATCTACAAAGCCTACTCTGATTACTCCCCCGTCAGTAATAAGCCTGTTCTTACCACAGATTGTGAAGAGTTGTGCCTGTATTTCTCACATGCACATATTATTTTGTATTACAACTATTTGTGTATGCATCATATCCCCACAATGTGAAATCTATGAGGAGAGTTTAATATTTGTCTTTTTTCCAGATCTTAGTAAAATGTACTAAACATTGTACAGGTGCACGTGGATTAAAGTGATTACTATTGAAACCTAAAAACTGTGTGTAGAAAGATTCCAAAGTTTCATTTTCCAATTCATTTTTGAGAAGGAGGAAAAAAATGACAATACATTACCTAAGTACTGAAAAGTAATTTGAATTTGGAGTCAGGAAACTTGGCTTTGAATCCCAATTTTGTGACTTACCACTCCTGAATGAAGAAACTCCTTCTACCTATGAAGACCAACATCTTCTCAGTAATATATAGTCTAAGAGAGTTGCACAAGGCTCTGAGAGGTTAAAGAACTTTCCCAGAATCATAGATCCAGTTCATGTCACAGGCAAGACTTACACCTAGGTCTTCCTGGCTCCATGCCAGCTCTCTATCCACTACTCCATACTGTTTCTAAGCAACCCATAACTGCTTATTAACCCACAATGGGAATTAATATATTAGTAAACTCCAGGGAGTTTAGCAACAATTGTTTCCAAATGCTAATTTAAGTCTCTTATCTCCCAGCTTAAAAAAAGGAACAAAATAGATATGCACATGAAACAAATATGATATTCAAGAACTGTAGGCTAAAAAACCAGCAGATGTTATTTTTCTATCATTAAGAAATATCTACTCTTCTAATAAGGTTAAACTATAAGTCTCACCATAGGTTGCAAAAGTTCGCCTCTGCTGTTCAAACATGAAATCATTGATATGAGTTGGTTCAGCATATCCAGAAAGCATATTCCTAGGGGCAGCCATCTGTTGAGTCCTAAAGGGATTTTCTGGTCCAAACTGCAATATTACATGGAATTAAAACATAATTTAAAGAATTAGCTACATGCATGATAGCAGAAAATCTTTTTTGCTATATTATGATGAGAATTTCTGATGACCAAACTACTAAATTTCAATTCTTCCAAGTCTCTCTCCTCTCTAGATGTTTCAGGATTCCTTGGAGAAAATGGAAGTTTAAAGATTCAGCAAGAAAGAACAATGTTCATATTCAAGAATTAAGATTCTGTTTGCATTTCACAGAAAAGAATCATATTAACCTTCTGCCTTAAATTGTTTTTTTAAAAAAAATGCCTGGTAAGTTTGGCTCACTGCAAGCAATACAATCACACTTTCATTTACTGATATGCCTAATCAAAGTATAGTCTTTTAAGCATTTGGCTTTAGCACAAAGATCTATCTCACTTTGAGTAAACCTAATAAGAGTAAAGTCTCGATTAACTATAACATGACTGGTTAGAATAAATTTAGTCACAAAAACTAAATGTTTGAGAAATCTTTGGGAAGGATTTTATAAACCTGAATAAAAGCAAAGAGCCTTGCAATGTTATAGCAAGAAAGTCTGCTTAATAAAGAGTGGAAGCAATCTGGGTAAGTGGCTAAGAATGTCAATTTTTAGACTGTCAATAAACATTACAACATTAACTCTTGTTGCGTTAGATGTGAAATGACTGTCCAGCGACCAACAGGACTTACAACTGGGGGAACTGAATCAGATTCATATCGACATTTTCACTATAAAAGAAACCAGAAGACAAAAGGAATTTGTTGCTAACTGCAAGATTTGCCTTGAAAGGAGTTAGCAGAATTGGTTTCAACATGTTGAAAAACATCATTTGGAGAGATATTTAGTCATGTCACATTGTAGTATATATGATGAGCACAAGCAAAAAGAGTTGTATAATGACAGTTTCTGATTATATACCAACATCTCTTGCAAAGGATAATGAGACAGAAATTCTAAGACCTTCCAAATTAAATCAACATATATATATATGTGGGTATATATATATATATCTGTGTGTGTATATATATGTATACACACACACACACACTTTACTATTTTGTGATTTCAATGCAAAAGATGGCAAAATATATGCTGGAACATATGGCAAAGAAATAAAAGATGAAGGAGGCCAAAGGGTTGCAGACAATATATAAGCCTCATGACTATATATCATGAATTTATATATATATATATATATATTTTTTCATAAAAACAGCTCAGGTGCTAGATATGGCAACTATCAAATAATACTACATGATGAAATGGAATATATCTTGACAGGAAATAACTTGTTATTGATGGAGGTAGTACAATTTCTCAATCTGTTTTTGAAGCAACTACAATAAATACTATCTAAACAAATTATTGAAAAAAAGTGAAATGGTGAATCAAAGAAGAGACACTGAGAATATCACAATTTTCTAAGGACGATTTAACAAAACAAAATGCCTTAGTCAGCAAATATATGACCTCTCTTTGCCAAGTAGATAGAGAGAAGTGGCAGCTAAGGTCAATACTAGTTTAACATATAAATTAATTTGCAAAATCTTACAGATGAGTTAGGAGCACTACTGCTTTATAAAATACTGATAAGTGGTGGAGGGAAAAACAAATCTACAGAAAGCTAAGCAAGAGACCCAATTAGGCCAGATCTTTCCAAATTTACTTACGGATGAAACTGGAAACAGGACAGCAACAAGTTGAAATGAAAAAAAAATTGTCAAGTTTTCTTAAAACAAACTATTTTCTCTATCAATTATAACTGTACTTTAACATCATAGTTCCTGATGTCCTATGTTAGGAAGAAGAAAGAACAGTAAAGACAACAAAAATGGGAAAAGCTGCTAGGCTTGACTAGGAATACACAAAGGAAGTCTGTTGCTGGAGGTGACGATTTTCAAGATGTCTGAAAGAAGAAAGAATACCAAACAGCTAGAAAAAAACAAGGTCATTATTCCTACCCATAAAAGGTGACTGAGTAAGTATTAATTACTGACCCACATGCCTACTTCTCCATTTTTATAAAATCTTTACAAGTAATAGTCTACACACCTATTAAGGACATCCTTGGTGAAAGTACAAGAATACAGTAGGTCAGCCTTTTGCAAATGATATTCTACAATATACCACACTTTAACAGTAGCATAACTGACTAAAAAGGCACCAAACATACAAGATTCCACCGTATTTATTGTTTGTGGATAATGAAAAATGGATGAGTCTATGGAGCAAAATATCAAGGCAAAAGTCCTCCTGCAATAACAAAATGTCTCCCAAACATATGTTAAAATAATACCAGATTTTCTGAAAGAGAATAACAAACACAATTTTGCTATTCAACAGGTGGGGGAGGGGGGGAAGTGAAAGACTCTGGAAGTCAACATTTTAAAAAATGAATGTTAAAATTTTTTTACGTGTAGTTGAAAAAAATAAAATTTTGAAAAAAGATAATTTTGCATCATCCATCAGTACGTACAACTTAGCAAGATCCTGGAGATGGTCGATAAAAGGAGTCTAACGTCATTATGAAGGAAAGCAGTACTGCGATTACGAAACTACATAGTGCTTTTGATAACTACAAGTTTCTTCCTGAAACAAAAGCCTACCTTTTTTTTTTGCCTTTAATATTATGTACAAACTCCTCTGTTTGACATTTAAGGCTTTTCAGTGTGGCTCCAACCAGACTGATTTCCAGACAGACTTGCTCCCCCTCACAAATGCACTCTATGTTCCATTTAAACTGGCCTACTTGTTATTCCTCACACACCAATGTTCCATTCCTACTTCTGGGCTATTCTACAGGCTATCCCCATGCCTGGAATGTTTCCCTTCTTTCCTGCTGTCTCTTCAAACCCTAGTGCCCTTGAAGGTTCAGCTGAAGGGTTACTTCCAACACAAAAGCTTTCTTGATATCCCGTTATTAGCGCTCCCCCAACCACAGATATTACTCTACATTTACTTCTCTGTATACATATTGTTTTCTTCATAGAATAAGCTCCTTTAGAATACAATCTGTTTTGCTGGTATCCCTGGCATCTAGCACACAGTGCCTGGTACAAATTAGATACTGACTAAATGAATCGACAACACCAATATTTTTCCAGTGACAATATATAGTTATGAATGGAATACCAATCAAGATGTAAAGTCATAGATCATTCATTCAAAGGGCGATAGAGATGGGTATGGTGGGTATGGATTGGCTGAAACATACCACCCGTGTTTAAAAGATACCAAACAGAAGTATGATCAGAAAAGAAACTGGGCTGTCATGAATCAAGCAGACAAGTCTATGCACTTCACTGATGTGGAAATATTGCCAAGAAAGCTAATGGAAGGCCCCAGCACATCAAGTAGATCCACTGTGGAGGATTTATTGGAGGAATGTACAAGGGTAGCATAAGAGGCATGGACTCCTGAGTTTAAAAAAAAAAAAAGCTATCCACCTCAAGAGAGGGAACCAATGAACTGAGTGCAAAGTGAAGTGTAATTTTCCCTTTTTCTGTGCTTTTTTTTGGGTGACATGGCTAAGATGGAAATACGTTTTCTGATGTCACTGATGATGATATTACACATATATAGCTGATATCATTTTGCTTGGCTCCTCTGTGGAGGAAGAGGGGTGGGAGAAAGAAAATCTGGAACTCAAAATTTAGAAAGAAAAGAATGCTAAAAATAAATAAATAATAAATTTGAATTAAAAAAAATTTAAATAAAGGCTTTAAGGTTCACAAAGTGCTGTATACAGAGTATCTAAAATGTCTTAGTGTAGTTAGAAGCTTATTACTGCATTATGTCTTTTGGGACACCTTATACATAATCTGATTTGATCCTCCAATCTATTATTCTCATTTTACTGATAACAAAACTGAAGCAGACAGAGGTTAAGTGACTTGCCTAGAATCATATAGGTAGTTAAGTGTCTGAGGAAAGATTTGCACCCAGGTTCTCCTAACTCCAAGTTCAGCACTCTTATCTACTACTCCACCTAGCTGTCTCTGACTTTTCCAGAGACACAGACAATATGTGCCAGAGTTGGGACTTGAACTCTAAGTCCTCCTTACTAGAAGGCCAGTTTGCACTACGCTTTACCAAATGGCTGGTTTTCCTGAATTGCTCCCCCCACCCTCATCCCCCCCCCCCTTTTAAAATCTTTGTTACAAAGGTTGGGTAGGAGAGGAGGAAGGGATATATTAGGAAATTATTGTAATATAACAACAAAAGACATCAATAAAGTTAAGAAAAAGAATACTCTGTGGTTACAAATGATAGAAAACCATGATTTTGGAAAAAAAAATCAAAATTATAAGTACCCCAAAAGGCAATGGAAAGATGTATGGGGCTGTAAGTACAACGCAACATATTATCAGTGATGACTTACACTATTTCTCATATGTAAAAGCCATCAAAGGCAGGTAGGCCAGTCATACAGTGAGCATGGCAGACAACAGATGGACAGACTAATTGCTACACTAATAGATAACCTCCTGAGGTGAGCAGCCTGTCAAGAAGCCCAGATACTTAGAAATCATCTTATTCTGTTCTAATGCACAAGTGAAGAAGGCAACTGTCTTTCTCAACCCTGAAGCTTGCAAAGGCAAAGCCAGAAATCTTTTTGAAATGAATGCTGCCCCAATTTTACACTTATCTGGCATGGATGTGACAATAGACAAGATAGATTAGGAAGGACAAACCAAGAAGTTGCTAGAATTAATGGAAAGCTGAGATAACAAAAGAATCATGGGGTGGGCCACCAGCATGTTGGATGGGTTTTCTATGGAATACTGACTTAAAATCATAGACAGGAAACACACAGGAGAAGGCATGGAAGGGAGAAGTGGTATTATAACACAGTAGAATTATCACTAGACTAGGAGTCAGAAGAGCTAGTTTCTGCTTTGCCACTCACTTTCTGTGGCAAGTCATTTCTCTCTGCTCCCTTTTCGTCATCTGCAAAACAAGGGGGTTGGACCAAATGATCTCTAAGATCCCT